CCGCGAAAATAATCGAAAATGGCGTGCGTGAAAAATCTTCGGCTGAAAGTAAGCACTCTCATAAGGGCACGACCATCGACTATTTGCCCTTCAAAAGGCTGATTTTGAGCGCAACTCAACTGCGCGACAAATTTCAGGCTCACACCGGTACCAATTTACCATCGAAACGAATGAACGAACCGTAGGGACTGACTTTCCTAATGTCATACCTAAACACAGATGCTCACTTATTATATCGAAAGTTAAACAGCAAGCAATCTTTATAGTGATGGGCTGTATTTTGAAAATCCGGTAAAAGAAAGTACTAAACGTTGTTCACGTTATGTTCGCCAATGGAAACTAGGTCGTAAATCTGTGGCTTTCACAGCAAGGAAGAAATGAATGGCCAGAACACCGACTACCGGTGCGAAGATGCGTTTTTTGCATAGCTCCTCGCAGGTTTTTGTCGCTAACGGCACCGGTTTTTCTTGCAAATGCTTCTAGCTAAAATAACTGAGACTGGCTACCAGCCTGTTTGAAGACATCCCTTCAAAATTTCAGCTTCCTAGCTTTCCAGGTTTTCGAGTTAGCAACATATCTGCAAAACTTTCATGGGATCGTACATGGGAACCACGCATACCTGGAAAGTGGGGGTGAACACATTCGGACTTACGTGGACGTGGAACGTCACCTTAAAATTCCAGTCTTCTAGCTTTCCAAGTTCCCGAGTTAGCAACTTATCCGAAAAAACATTGGCAGGCCTGCACGTGGGTACCACGTAGAGATAGGGGCCCGTACACGCATGTAGATTAAGTTTCCAAAGTTTCAGCCCTGTAGCTTTTGTGGGTCTTGAGGTGAAAAACTGGTACAAACGAACACACAGACACATATACGCAGGAAACCTCTCGTCAATATGCGTTTTATGCATTGCATAGATGCCAAAAACGTATAAAAACAGCTGGAACGTATAGTGAATATCAGAAACACCAGCAGAAGGAGACCATGAAATGATGCATCACTGCCCCAACAGTTTAGGGAAAAAGATGTTGGGTCTGAGTGCACAAAGGCGAATATCTTTGAAATTAGAATATCGGCCTCGATATCTTATTCATTAACGCGATCGAAAGCAAAACAGAATTATTTACAAAAACACGGAGGAGTGACACCGACACAGAGCTAGCACAAGGGATTTTTTAACCAGAACATCTCAAAAATTTAAATACCTTCCGATGATTCCACAAAGGAAGGCACTGGAAAATTGTGGCGCAATGCTTCTGGTTCTTTTGGTTCGCTAAAAAGTGCTTTTTGCTCATGTTCACCCGGAAGTTTCTCGATACATGTTTTCCGTCTAGTGCCAGTCTGAAAAAAATGCAGCCTTCGTCATGCAACAGCTTTTTAGCAAAATTTTGCAAATTGCCGGAAGCAAACTGAAATTTCTTCTAAAAATTTTTTTGCTTTGAGGAAGAATG